AAGTCGATCTTTGAGATCATATACTTATCCAACTAATTTAGTTGGGGATCCATGGAGAAGCCCTTCTTCAGAAAGGAGAAAAGCTTGTTCCAAGCGATATCACATCTCCCGGGAGTCCCTCTCAAGCCAACCTTACCTCAATAAGGTTATAACAAATCCCCAAGAATTCCACTTCCCGGGATAAAGCGGGAGACACAAAAAAAAACTCCAAGACTCACCAACATGGAAGAAGGGCCGGTAGCATCAACCATAGAATCAACCTTTGTTTTTATCGACTTCTTTATTTGATCTTGTGCGAGGGCAACTGAGCCAGCTCTATCGTGTTTCTTCTTGACCGACCTTCCGAAGGAGTTGGAACAAAAGAAGGGGGAAACTCCACAAAATTCCTCACGAGAAAGGGGAGAAATGGGCTTAGCCAGGAAGTAATCAGTTTTAAAATACTTCCAGTTGTCAATATAGACCATGAAGACCTAATTTTTGGCATGACGGAGAAAAACTAGCTTGTAACCAACAACGTCCTTAGAGGCGGGACATACTTCAAAAAGGTGGAAAAGAGGTTTCGAGAAACTGAACATGTTTTATCCTGATATTAATACCAATCCTGGAATACACGAATGAAACTCCAGGGAAAGGGATGGAATTGCAAATGGGGAATGCAGAGATGGTTCAGAACTTCCTTCTCAAAAGAAGTTAGCGGAAGACGAACACCTAACTTCCAAAAAATGCAGGTGTAAAAGGGGATAAAAACACCCTTCAAACTTGTGAAATATCCTCTTCTCGACCAGAATTGAAGAAAAACTTCAGCCAGAAGAAGCCTCTATTTCTAGAGGACCAAACGAAGGTTCTTCCCCTTGAATAAACACAAATTTGTGGAATGAATATTGGTTCAACCTAGGAATGATCTTCCACGGACAATGCTGCCTTTAAGCTAATTAGTTAAGACAATATCCAAGGCCACAGAAAAAGCAGAATAACACACTGAGAATGGACGAACAAGTGGTAAGAACAAAAAAGAGTAACTTGGAGAACATCACCTAGCTTTTGAGAGGAGAACCTAAACAAGATGTGATTGTTCAGATTGAGCGACAGGAGAAAATCCGAGAATATTCTTTATCTTATCTTATCAATCCAATCGAGTGTAAGAATCACTTAAATACTCTAGGTAGGGTAATTGTTCTCTAATCGGCATGCCCAGGGTGACGTGTTAGAGAGAAGAAGTAAAAATATTCAGTGACAGAACAACATTAAATGCCCTTGTCCCCCACCACTTTCGTTACAGACACTGAAGCCTTTCAATTTTGATGCAACAAAAATGAATCCTTGTAAGGCCGACTGCAATTACTAAAGACTCATAGGTATTTCTGGTGCCTAGTAAGCCTTGGGTGCAAATGTTCTAGTCTGGTCACCCCGCTAGGGCCAACCAATGGGAGATGCCCCGATTCAAGTCATTTTTTCTGGATCCACAACACATTTGTATCCCTGAAAATCTCCTCCCTATCGTAGAGCTATCATGTATCTTACTACATGATATTTACTTCTCAAGCGCATCCAATGATCCTCCGCATTTCACGTTTAAAAGATATCAAAATTGTTATTCCTCTTTCCTATATATAGGGAATGTCATCATTTCAGGTAATAGATTTCAAACACAATTTCAATACTTTCTACTCTTATACATATTAACTTGAACGTCTGAGTACTAATCTTGCAGGTACACCCCCGCTCCGCCGCATCAGAAACTCTATCCACCACGGCCTTCGCACCTCACTCTAAATTTTTTCCATTAATTTTAATTTAATTTTACAATATTAATTAATCGTTTATTTAAGAGTGTCAATATCTTCTTTCATTTGATTTTTATCTAATTCTCTTCCTAAAATAAACTTCACAAAATATTTCAATTATTTTTCATTTACTATTATTTATATCGAAAAAATTTTATTTTTTCAATCTCTTTTTATAATGTGTAAAAAAAGTTTCAATTTAAATTATCTATTACATTTTCTATATCAAGCGTAATTTTATTTTGAATATCTTCTCTTGCATTCTTGAAAATTTTGAATCAAGTCTAAGACAAATGTAATTTCATTCAATCATTAATTTGAAATTTAACTTCGCTAATATTAAACTTTTGATTCTACAATTTTTTTTTTGGAGTCACTCCAAATTTTTTGTCACTGTCATTTTTTCAAAGTTATCTTTTAGATTTTAATAAAATAATTTCATCTCATTTTTCATTAGGTACAATTTATTTATTTATTTTAATAATCTAATTTGTATGGTTGAAGAGATTGAATGAGTAATTCTCTTCTTAAAAAATTGGAATGATTCAATGTTCAATAATTTAATGTTTGAAATTTAGTATAATTTAAATTGAAATTTGTGTTAAATATTATAAAAAAGATTAGAAAAAAATTGTTTTTTAGTCCAATTCTCTTCCTAAAATAGACTGTACAAAGCATTTTAATTTTTATATTTTTTTTATATAAAAGTGTTTTTTTTTCTAGATTTTTCTTTATATGATTTTATAGAATTTTAACATAAAATTTAAATTTAAATTATATGAGTTTAAAAATAATGTATTGTATAAAACAATTTTACATATATAATTAATCAAAAAATTTATATTTGTCATGTCAGTATTTAAAAAATAAAATTAAAATTTTTTATAATATATATATATATATATATATATATATATATATATATATATATATATATATATATATATATATATATATATATATATATATATATATATATATATATATATATATATATATATATATATATATATATATATATATATATATATATATATATATATCATTGATTGAAAGTGTAAACATATTTTAAAATTTTATACATTTTTTTTTCTCAAATTATATCTTACATTTTTCATAACGGTTAATTTAATTTTTAACATCTCTTACATTTTGGAAAATTTTGAATTAAATATACTCAACTATAATTTTATTCGATCAGTAGCTTAAAATTTAACTTTGATGGCAATATAGTTTAATTACATTAAACTGTTTTCATTTTATACTTTAATATAAATAATTTCACCTCATTTTTTTTATTTATAAATTTTATTTTCATTTTAATGACCCAAAAACTATGGCGGAAGAGGATGAATGTGAAATTGTCTAAAAAGAAAAGTAAAACAAGGGATTAGGACATGGGAGATAGATGTCACCGAAGGTAATATACTATATATTATAGAGAGAAATATAGCATTTTTATATTAAAATAAAAAAATAATTGAAATATTTTGTGCTAACTATTTTAAGAAAAATATCTGGCAAAAATAAAATAAAAGAAGATATCAATGTTTTTTAATAAATATTTAATAGAGCATTTGAAAATGGAGAAATAATTATATTTGAAATTATGTGAAAGAATCTTCGGGTCTAGTTTGTCAGCGAGCATCTCAATTTTTGACTGGACGAAGAGATGTTTAACACTACCGCCTCCAACATATAGATTATTGATCATCCGTCAAATGTCTCTAGATGATGTAAATTATTTACGGATCGTCTCAAGTATAATATTAACGCTTCTTTTTCTCATAATAAGGTAGGCATATGTGCTTGTATTAGAGATGACGCAAGTCATTTTATTGTAGCCCGAACAGAATGATTTTTACCTTGCATTGATGTTGTTATTGAAGAAGCTCTAGGTCTTTGTCAGCTTTAAATGGATTAATAATATGGATTATGACAATATGGATTTTGAAGAAGCTCTAGGTCTACTGTCAGCTTTAAAGTGGATTAATAATATGGATTATGACAATATGGATTATACAATAATGTGGGTAGTGTGAATTGAAGTCTAATGACTCGGATTTCGAAGTTATTATCGGCGATTGTAATAGGTTGATGTCTCTCTTCTTTAAAAACTCTTATGTTAAATTCGTCAGAAAACAAGCCAATAAGGTTGTTCATCCTCTGACACGAGTGACTCAATCTCTTACTAATTTTCATAATTTTATTAATATTCTAACATGTATTCAGAATATTATTATTAACGAAATAGATTAACATTTTCGCATAAAAAATGGTTAATAGAGATTGGATCCTTTTCTTTCAGATTTTATATTATTATATTTTCATATTGTTCTATATTTTGTTTCCAAAAATATGAAAAGAATTAAAAAAATTCAAATGAAAAATTTGTTTAAATAGTTATTGTAGGTATTTAACTATTTTATTATAATTTTTTTAATAAAAAAATTTCAAAAATTATTTAAAATTGAAGCTATTTCAAATAATTTTTCTCAAAATATTCTTGAATTACATATTTTTAAAATAACTATGATTTCAACTATGTTTTAATATTTAATATTGTATATTTAAGTTTTTTTTTAGCATAAAGAAATATTTTATTGATATCCCAAAAACATCTAATACACACTGATCTCAAAGGATTCAGGCAAACAACTGGAACAAAAACAAACTAGTCAATAATTCTCAAGTTGTTATTATTTATGTGTGTGCTTGCTTAGCTTCTTATTAATAGTGCATCTAGTGACTATGGTGCTTTTGATTTGCTCCAATATATCGTTGGTCAAACTAATCTATCATATAAAAAAAAGTGAATGCTCTGCCTATTACCAAAATGTCCTTCTGATGCTATAATTGAAATTAGTAGAAATTTTCACTTCTTTTATCAATTGTCGTAAGGTGAGTGATAAAACTCACAAGCTTAAAGCTATTACAACAACAGTTATCAAACTAAAATAGTGACGGAACTCTGAAACTCGGAATGCATAAAGGAAGAAACAAATGCATCATTGAAGATGACAACCAGTTCAGAAGATATAAAGAAAACAAAATGAACTGGTTGTAACATTAACATTAGATAAATTGGATTACAAATTACTAGAAGCAAATTCATATCAAATCAATCTCTCCCAATAGCTGCAACATTTCAACCCCATAATATACATAGACTACAATCAACAACAAAACATCGAAAGAGAAACCCTAACCCTAACCCTAACCCCCAAAACCGTAAAGAGTTCTTCCCTGTCTCTTAAGAGCGTAAACAACATCCATAGCGGTAACGGTCTTTCTCCTAGCATGCTCGGTGTAAGTAACAGCATCACGAATGACATTCTCCAAAAATATCTTGAGAACACCGCGTGTTTCTTCGTAGATCAGACCACTTATACGCTTCACTCCTCCTCTGCGAGCAAGACGGCGAATCGCTGGCTTCGTAATACCTTGAATGTTATCGCGGAGAACCTTACGGTGTCGTTTTGCTCCTCCCTTTCCCAAACCCTTTCCACCTTTCCCACGCCCAGACATCTTGATTTCAATGTGTGAATGATAAATCGATAAATAAACGAAAAGATGAAGAAATGGTTTTGCAGTGACTTGTTTACTGTGTTGGGTTTGTATTTATAGCCTTTTAGATCTTGTTGGTGGGTTGGGGGAGAACGTATCGATCCGGGTGAGTTTCACTGAGCTGTTTTGGATCGTTGATAGGAGGTGAAGGTACGGTCCAGATATCAGATTAAACTGAGAACGGATCGATGACGTGGCGGAAGAAATTAGTGCTCCACTTCGCCATGTTGTTAGAGCCTTAGAGGCCCTCTCGTGATTTTGGAATTTTTGGCTTTTTCTAGTGACCACATATGCATTACTCCTTTTGGATTTTATAGTTTGAATTTAATTTATGTGATAGATTCATATACAACATTGACGTATTTGTTGATCACCTTTTTTCACATATCACTTTATGTGCTACTCTTGCTACCACCAAAAAAACTGATAGCCTCTCAGTATGGCTGGTACTATCAAGCCTAGCATTTATGCCCGAGGGCTGCTCGCAATGACAAACCTCCATTTGAGTGTGATTATGGCCATTCCACTGAGGCAGATATCTATAGATATTGATTACTTTGTAAAATTATATTTCTTTTCATTCTTATAATATGGAATGTTGTTTGTACAAGTTGTCTCTATTATATGGTAACAGGATCTTGAGATTACATCAAAACATGCCCCCGATCCGCATACGCCAACTCCTAAACGACATAATTCAGATGGGTCAAGTGAATCGACAACCATGGTCAGCTCGTGTGATGGAGAACTCTCATCAACAAAACTTAAGATGATCATCAAATTGGAGAAGAAGAATTAGTTCCACCACTCTTTTTGAATTTTTTTTATTTGGGCATGTGATATTTTGTATCATCATTAGGTTCAACTTTTGTTGATCTAAGCTACTTTACACAATCGATATTATATCATGTTATCTTTGACAATATATTAGATACTTAAATGTAATGTGAACATATTCTGGGGCACCCTTAATACATGTGTTTTCTTATACCATCTATTTTTGTGAACCTTGCAAGACAAATCAGGAATGTCGATGTGTTGTAATGGGTCATGAAATTTTGCTTTTATTTAATCATCTGTAATGAGGTTAGACTGAATGGTTCATTACTTATTTTTCTCTGTTGGAAACCCACCAAAATTTATGATGAATTTCTACCACAATGACAATGAATTATGAGAAAGAAAAGAAAACAAAGAAGATAATTATTTTCTGCAGAGTTTCTCTCTGCCCACAAACTGTGGAGAACTTTGTTATTCACTTGCAACTGCAAATTTTGTGAATACAACTTAATTGACTTGCTTACAAAAATAGGGGTTACCCTCTCTATTTATAACTGAGCTTACACCCTAAGCCCAAAGCCCAAAATATCTTTTTGTTACTAAATCAAATCTATCTAAAACAAATCAAATCTTTTTGACACATAGTTTCGACACACTGGATTACAATTCAACACTCCACTTAATTCATTGTGTCTAAACTATCTATGTTCATCATGGCTCATAGTCTTCTGAATACTTCAACTTGCACTCCCTTTGTCATGATGTCTGCAATCTGATTCTCAGTTCCAGTGTTCCAAATTCATCTTCCTATCTGCTACCTGCTCTCGAAGATAATGGAACCTCATTTCGATGTGCTTACTTCGACCATGTGTTATTGGGTTCTTCTCCAGATTGATAGCTGACATGTTGTCGATCTTCATGGTAATTGTTCCATGATCTTTTCCTATTATCTCTTCGACCAAGTTCACCATCCAAGTTGTTTGACATGCACAAAGAGAAACAGATATGTATTCTGCTTCGCATGATGATAATGCCACTACTGGTTCCTTTCTTGAATTCCAAGCAACTGGTGCACCACCTAGCATAAACACATATCCAGTTGTTGACTTTCGATCTTCAGCATCACTACACCAACTTGAATCAGTGTATCCCACTAACTTGCATTCTTTTTCTTTATCAGCTGCAGGAAACAAAATGCCAAAATCGAAGGTTCCTTTGAGATACCTCAGTATCCTCTTCACTGCTGCTAGATGTGATACCTTTGGCTTCTGCATGAATCTACTTACCATACCTACACTGTATGTTAAGCCAGGCCTTGTATGACAAAGGTATCTCAATGATCCAATAAGTCTTCTGTATTGGGTTGGATTAACATCATCTTCATTTGCATCTTTCGACAGTTGCAGTCTTGGTTCTGCAGGTGTCGAAGTTGGGTTGCATTCTTCCATCCCAAATCTCTTGAGAACTTCTCCTGCATATCTTCTTTGATACATCATCAAACCTCTACTGCTCTTGTAGAATTCGATGCCAAGGAAATATGAAATCTCACCCAAATCAGACATTTTGAATTCCTTGTTGAGATCACCTTTGAAGTCTTCGATCTCACTTTTACAGCTACCTGTTATCAACAAATCATCTACATAGAGACATAGTATAAGCAATTCACTATTGCTTCTTCTTACATATACTCCATGTTCAGTTGTGCACTTTACAAATTCCTTCTCCCTTAGGAAACTATCAATTTTCTTATTCCAAGCTCTTGGAGCTTGTTTCAATCCATACAAGGCTTTATGCAGCCTGTACACCTTTCTTTCTTCGTCATGATTCACAAACTCAACTGGTTGTTTAACATAGACTTCTTCATCTAAGGGTCCATTTAGGAATGCACACTTCACGTCCATCTGACATATGTGCCAACTATTTATTTCTGCTAGACCAACAACCAACCTGATTGTTTCGATCCTAGCAACAGGTGCAAAAACTTCATCAAAGTCTATTCCTTCTTTCTGTAGAAATCCTTTTGCCATAAGCCTTGCTTTGTGTCGAGTTACTTCACCTTTCGAATTCGTTTTCACTTTGTATACCCACTTGACATCAATTGCCTTCTTGCCTTGAGGCAATTCGACAAGTGACCAAGTGTTGTTGTCTTCGATAGACTTCACTTCTTTGTTCATTACTTTCACCCACTTCGAATCCTTTAATGCTTCAGTTGCATTAACGGGTTCGACATCTGCACAGAAAGCATAATGTACCAGCTCACCTTCATCACCTATCACATCATCTGATGTAATCACACAATCTTGCAATCTTGCAGGCATGCATCTTGTTCTTTGAGGTCTTCTTGTACTTGGTATATCTGTTGGTTCCTCATGTCGAACTTCTCTTTCAACTTGAGTTTATGGCTCTTCGAATAGGATTCCCACTTAATCTTTCTTGACATTTTCAGTCAAATCCCATTCTTTAAACTCATCTATGACACGTCCCTGCTGATCAATCTTCTTGTTCTCTAGATCAAACAACTTGTAGCCTCCTTTCGAATGATATCCAACTAGAATCATTTGACTTGACTTGTCATCGAGTTTTCTTCTCAACTGATCTGGCACATGTCTATGTGCAATTGATCCAAATACCTTCAGATGATTCAATCCAGGCTTCACACCAGACCAACATTCTTCTGGAGTAATTCCTTCTAGCTTCTTTGTATGACATCTGTTCAAAATGTATGTTGCAGTCGAAACAGCTTCACCTCAAAACTCTTTAGGTAAATTCTTGCCTTTCAACATACTTCTCACCATATTCATGATGGTTCGATTCTTCCTTTCTGCAATTCCATTTTTGTTATGGAGTATATGGTGGCACTACCTTATGCACAATCCCTTCCTTCTCACATAGCCTGTCGAAGTCTTTCGACACATATTCTCCACCACCATCAGTTCTCAAAACTTTGAGCTTTCGACCACTCTGTCTTTCGACCATAGACTTAAACTTGACAAATACTTTGATCACTTCACTTTTCTTCTTGATCAGATAAGTCCACAGCTTTCGACTGAAATCATCTATGAATGTAACAAAGTATTTGTTACCTCCCATCGAATCCACCTGGATTGGTCCACATACATCAGAGTATATGACTTCAAGACTAGCCTTTGACCTGCTTCCTGCATCCTTGCTGAAGCTATTCTTGTGTTGCTTCGCCTACACACATTCCTGACATACCTCATTTGGAATGTCGATTTTTGGCAATCCTAAAACCATATTTCTTCTCTTCAAATCTCTGATGTCTCTAAAGTTGAGATGGCCTAGTCTATAATGCCATATCCATTCATCTCTGCTAGCTGCAGTCGAAAGGCACTTATGCTCCATCACATTTAGTTCAATCTTGAAGGTTCGATTATGAGACATAAGAGCCTTCAAGATTAATCTCCCATTTGCATCAACGACTCTCATCATCTTATCTTCGATTGACACTTTATAATTCTTTTCGATCAACTGCCATATACTGAGCAAATTGCTCCTTATGCCTGGTATGTACAACACATTGGAGATTACTGACCTTTTGCCATCTTTCCTCATAATCATAACATCAGCAATATCTTCAGCTGCTAGGGTATTGTCATTTGCAAATTTTACCATATTTTTCATTGAGGGCTTTATATTGACAAACTAGTCTTTCCTTTCAGACATATGTGATGAACATCCTGAATCCAAGTACCATTGGTCCTTGAATCTATCTTCATCTCTTGTTGTAACCATCAGCATCATCTATTCTTCTTCTTCATATTTTGCAAACTTTGCATCACTTTCTTGGTTCTTTCGTTTTTCTGGACAATCACTCGAATAGTGACCATACTTTTGACAATTGTAACATTGAATGTGACTCTTATCAGGTTTTCGACCACCACCTCTTCCTCTATTTGCAACACCACCTCTTTGGTTGCCTTGGTATGGTTTTCTTTGATTCGACACGTTTCCTTCTATCTGGTTTCCTCTACCATTCGATTTGTTGTAGCCACCTCTACCTCTGTTGAAACACTTTCCTTTGCCTTTGGTCTCTTTTTTTGAATGTGCCTGCATGTCCACATCACTCTTCGATTTGCCTGCAGCTCTTTCGTTCATTCTTTGTTCATGAGATTCAAGCGTCCCTTGAAGCTCTTCCTTTGTCAATTTCAACAAGTCTTTCA